ATGTAACGTTACCTTATCGCTCTGAAAATAAAACAAGGTTTGTTTTCTTAAAACGCAAAACCTATTTTTCCACGATTCCAATTTACCACAACAGATAGATCATATTGAAAAAGTTCAGGTATTATTCAGAAAAAATTAATAAATGAATTATGAATTCTTAACGTTAATGACATTATTAACCTTAATTATTTATATAGATAATTCCAGGAAAAACTCATAGAAAAAAAAGTAGTAGAATATTTTCAAAATTAAATTTCACGAGCAAAAGCGACAAAAATAATGATAAACCGGAAAAAAATGAAACAAATCAAAACATTTTTTCATTTAATAAACCCGTAAAAAAAGAAAAAATACAATCTTCATCAGGAGGGTGGGATTTTTTGGTGGTATGATCTTTTTTTTTCACTTAAAAAAAAAATCCATATATTTTTTTATTTTTATATTCTTATCTTTATTTTTTTTTAGGATACAAACTCTGAAAAAAAGCATAAAAATAAATCCAGGTCTCTTTCTAAAAAAATATCGAAAGAATATTTGGTACTATTCTTTTTATATCAGTTTTGAATGAACCTTTTTTTTTTGTTATTATTTATAATCTTTTTTTTCTTTTTTTTTTTTAAAGGATCGAAATAGTTTGGTTGGAAGTCAATTGGGATTGCCGAAATATGCTACAATGCAAGTTTTTTTTTTTGACAAAAATTTCGCATAGTTTTCACTTATTTTTTTTATTATTTTTTTTCATTTATTTTTTCATTTATTTTTCGATTACTGACTTGATTTTTGACTATTTTTTACATGTTATTAGGAATGGAGATAAACAAGATCAGTTAAATCGATTAGATTCTGTTAAGGAAAGTATTGGCGAGGAAGACGAAGAGATACTTAAAGATATTGGAACACCTGATTATGAAGGATGGCTTATGAAACAAGATGATAAATATAAATCGTGGAAAAATAGGTTTTGCGTTTTAAGAAAACAAACCTTGTTTTATTTTCAGAGCGATAAGGTAACGTTACATGTTTGATTCTTATTGTGTTTTTTTTGATATACTTAATATATTTTGATATTATACTTAATATATTTTGATATGTTACTTAATATAATTTGATATTATACTTAATATATTTTGATACGTATTATGCTTAACAGTTAATATATTTTGATACGTATTATACTTATCGTATATTGAAATTACATTATTTATTTTGAATTTAGACTGCACAAACATCCCGACTCAAAGGTACTATCAATATCATGGGATACCGAGTCATTCCTGACGAGAATATATTGCAGGGAAAATATGGATTCAAATTGGTTCATGATACTGAACGTGCTCACTACTTTGCTCATGAAAACTTGGGGAAAATCAGGGAATGGATGAAAGCTATTATGAAAGCTACAATATCAAGGGATCTAACATGTAAAAATTATTATCATTTTACTTAAATTATCAGCAATAAAAATGTCATGTTAACTGTTGATTTTTTTTTTAATAGCTCCGGTGTTTTCATCAAGTGATTTAAGTACCATGTCACTCGCTGAAGCTCGAAAACTTGTACATAAACAACCTAAATCAACGAATAAGAATTCAGAACCTCCAGAAGGTTCTGATTCACCAACATTAGAACGTTCATTGTCTCCAACTCTTTATCCACCTTCAAACAATTTTAATAGGTCGAATCCACAACAACCATCTCCGAGATGTAGGTCCGTTTCACCATTACCTGAAATACCTGAAACATCAGGACAATCAACAACAATGACGTCTTCGAAATCCAAGATATCCACTTTTAAAAAACTTGTAAAAAGTACTAGTTTTGATAGTATAACTGCTAGTTATATGTAGAGTTTTTCTAACTTTAGTAGTAATAATAATAGTAATAGGATGACGTTTAATGAGAGTATAATTATAAAAAATACATAATATACATAAATATGCATTTATACATTTAAAAAAAAGTTATTAGGCATTTACTTGCATTTCTGTAATACTATTTTCGTGATAAAGGGGTTTTTCGATCAATTCGGTCCTAGTGGATCGCGATTATATCAATAAAACGGTTATGCACACAAAGTAATATTTGTTCTTTGTTTGTTTGTTTGAAAACTTTGGACTTTGTATATAATTATTGGTATAAAGATTTGTATCCATGCCTTTATTAATACTATTAATGTTTAGGCCGCTTGAAGTTGAAACTTCGTTTAACGTTATCCCCCCCTCCATCTTCCGGGTTCCCCCAAAAAATTAAACAAATAGAAATGAAAATTTGATCGCCAGCATAGCAGTCGGGCTTTTTCGGTTTACGTCCGGGATTTC